CTCTCTCTCTATTTTTAAAACTTTTAAGATTTTATTTTAAATTTATTTATTTTTCTTTCATATATTATATCTGAATCATAGCTTCCTATTCTCCTATGCTCTACTCCCAGTCAGCCCTCTACCTTAATCTTACCCAGACAAACTACTTTCTCTTTTTTCCTTCATAAAATAACAGGCCTCCATGTGATATCAAATGAACTCAGCATTAGAAGTTATAGTAACAATAGCACCACACCCTCATACGAAGGCTGGAGAAAGCAACCAAGAAGGAGAAAAAGAGGTCAAAAGTCAGAAAAAAGCATTAAAACAGCCCTTATTTCTACAGTTATGAGTTTGACAAGAACACTGAACTATATAATCACAACATGTATGCTTAGGATCTAACTCAGACTCATACAGGAACCTTAATTATTGCTTCTGTGTCTGTGAGACCTTATAAGCCCTTCTTAATTGATTCTGAGAACCATGATCTAATGAAGCCTTTACCATTTTGACTCCTACAATCTTTCCCTTTCTTCTTCTACAGCATTGCCTAACTCCACTGAATTTTCAAATGTGGGTCTCTATATATGGTCTTACCTCTACTGGATGAAACCTGATAAATGTTATGATAGATTCTGGTCTATGAATATAACAGGAAATCATTAGTAATCCTTTCTTTTTGGCCAGTCATTTTTGGGTCTATCCTAAGACTTTACACAATCATGCCTCTGGTGCCAGATCAACAAGGAAAGTGTCAAGCATGGGTTACCTCTCCAATCCTGGTATGAGCCTCAGGTTGTACCAGTCATTGGTTGTCAATACTCATACTTTCTGAGCCACCATTACCCAAGCACATGTTTAAGAAAGGACAAATTGTAGGTCAAAGTTTTTGGTTCTGGATTGGTAATCCAGTTCCAACACATGGAACATTGTCTGGTTACCAAAGATGGCCAGTTAAGGCTATATATATAACCCCATAGCCAGGTGTCTTCACTATTGTCACCTTCACAAATCCCAAGTGGTATCCAATGCACAAGAATTGCCCCCAAATTCTGGTTGTCTCTTACTGTACTCTGTTCCTCCATCCCTCTCAACCCTTGACCCTTGCTGTTCCCAACACCAATGGTCTCTAGGCCATTCTGAAATCTATCCTATTTTTTCAAGTGAAATCCACCACCTATTTAAACTCTCCGTGTTGCTTAGCCTCTTTGGGACTATATATTAAACCTTATTACCTTAATAGGTTATATCCATGTATAAAACCAGACATGTTGAACCTGATGGAAGACAAAGTGGTGAATAACACTTTGACCACATTGGCACAGTAGATGATTTCCTGAACAGAAACAAATAGCTCAGGCAATAAGATCAACAGTTAATAAATGGAACCTCATAAAGATGAAATGTTTCTTTAAGCCAATGGATACTTTTTTGTCCAGTAGGACAAAATGACAGCATAAAAATGGGAAAAGACTTTCACAAACTCCACTTCTAATATAGGATTAATATCTAAAATATGTAAAGAAATCAAGAAACTAGACCTCAACATACCAAATAATCCATTGTAAAAATGGGTACAGACTTAAACAGAGATTTTCAATAGAGGAAATTCAAATGCTTGAGTCAAACATAAGGAAATCCTCAAAATTCTTAGACATCAAGGAAATACAAGTCAAAGAGAGTATGAGATTTCACCTTACCCCTGTCAAAATGACTAAGATTAAAATCACAAGAAATGGCTTACAGTATTGATCTACTAAATATGAAATTGGGGAACCAAACTGGGTCTGCTACAAAATTAATACCTGCCATAAGCTTCTGGACCATCTATCTTGCCCATTAATTCATATTTCACGTTTCTTTAAGTAAAATGCATTGAAATTAGTTCATTGAGGCTAGCTTGTTTGGGCTCTCACGTCTCAGATTATTATTCTAAAAACTTTGGTAACAATTGGTCAAAATATACTCAAAGACTAGGTAAATAATTGCAGCATAACAGTTTGCACACAGATCCATTTACTCTCATGTTGTTTCTACAAGTTGAGGAAGTAGAAGAGCATCAACTATAGGGAAAACTGGGTAAAGAAATAAGGTCAAAGCTGTAGTAGTTCTTTATTTTTAAGAACCACTGAAGAACTAATAGAAGTGGAAAGAAAGCAACACACTTGAAGAGATTTATGTTACATTTTTCTAACATTTAAGTAATTTTAACCATTTTATCTGTCTCCTAAATACATTTCACAATAAAAATCTAGTTAACAGATGTATTTGTAAATAGCATATAATTTATCTCATTTAAAACTGTATATGGTAGCTCTCCTGATTCCAATTACTTTTCACACGGGGAGCAAATTATTCAACATTTAATGACATTACAAAATATTATTTGTGTCATGTGTAATCATGTTTGCCATGAAGTAACTATCCTGCTAAACCATGTGAAGTTGATAAAATTTTCAAGTACTATTCAGCTAGCAATTAACATCATGAGTTTGAGTATGGAAGAATTAACATTTTCTTCCAATTTGGTGAAAGAACACAAGCTGATTCGTTTGTTGAGGAGCTCTGACCCACTACCATATTCTGTAGTGTCTATCTCCCATGGATCTGGGGGTCAGAAATGATTACCCTAAGGAACTCAACTTTCAGTCTATTTTCATTCACCTATAGTATAAGAGGTCTTTCTGTCTATGTGTTGCTTTCATTGGTTAATAAAGGAATTGCTTTGGTCTTATAGCAGAGCTGTGGGGAACAGAGCTAGGTAGGAAAAATTTAATGGCAGGCTGGAAGAAGGAAGGTAGAGAGAAGCCACCATGGAGCCTCTGCCAGAGTGAAACGTGACGAATCTTTGATGGTAAGCCACTGCCATGTGTGGATATACAGATGAATATAAATGGCTTAAATTAATATAAGAGTTAGCTAATAAGAATCTAGAGCTAATGGGTCAAATAGTGACTTAATGAATACAGTTTCTGTGTGGTTATTTTGGGGCTAAGCTAGCCAGGCCAGCAGGACGAATAAGCAGGCCCTCCTCCTACACACCTATGTGAAGTCTTCTATGAAATTGGACACTTTGTTACAAAAATGACACAGAGCCATATGTGGAGGAAGGTTTCCATTCAAAACTAACAAGAATCTAACAAAATTTGTTTTTCCTTATAGAGAAAATTTCTGAATTGGGAGAGTATTTCTCAGCCTGTTTATGTAAAAAAATATAAAATTGCACAAGTACATTCTTTCATGTATTTCTAACCTTGCCTTTCTCTTAAGAAACCTATCTTATTAATTGGGTATAGGAGCTATGCAATTACTCTGGAGGTCTGTCCTATATTGTTCTTTATGGTTGTGCTATATACCATGAGAAAAGTCAACTTGGGAAGAGAAGGGTTTAGTTATGTGTGTAGTTCTGTTTCATGGTCCATCATTAAGGGAAGTCACGGAATGGATGGAATCAGGGCAGGTATTAGGAGGCAGGAACAGAAGCAGAGACCATAGAATAATGTTATTTACTTGACTACTCCCCATAGTTTGCTCACCCAGCTTTCTCATACCACCCACGACCACCTGCCCAGCATTAGCGCTATGTATTGTTGAGATGGGATTTCCATATCTGACCTCAATCAAGCCAATACTGCACAGACTTGCTTAGAGATGAATATCATAGAAGCATTTTCTCAGTTGAAGTTCTCTCAATGGAGATATCACTAACTTGTATTAAGTTGATGAAAACATAACAAATAACAAATAAATAAACAAAACATCCAGGAAAAAATATTTCCTATCAGTTTAATAATCTGACATTGAGCTCCAAATTTTTTCCAAAGTATAAAAACTGCCCTTTCTCTTAACTTTGTGCATAAAAGCTATTATCTTTCTTTTTGTAAGAAAGATGTTTATCTATTTTATCAGTTTTAACTGATATATACTAATTGTTGTCATTTTCTGTGTAGGCAGACATATGTGTGTGCCAATAAAGAACAGAAATGGATATTGGATTTCCTGGAGATAGATTACAGAAAACAGTGAGCAGCTCCACATAGGCACTAGTAATCAAGGCCATGTGTTCTGGAAGAAAAGTAAGTGCTCTTAACTCCTGAGCCATCTATCAGTCCCCCTTAAGAGAGTTCCTGTCAAAACATCATACTGAAATCATTTCACTGTTTGTTTGGTGAGATGTCTCAAAAAATAAAAGTGCCTGCCACCAGGCCAACAACTTGAGATTTTCTTATCCTAACAAGGTAGGAGAAAACTTACTTCAATCAATTGTTCTCTTTGTTCCCTGTGTGTGCTATTGAATGAACATTACTCTACATACATAGAGACAAACAAAATAAATAAAAGTAAAGAGATCATTTAATTAATGTATGATGACTACATAATAAGCAACACATATATGTAATTCATATAAAATTGAGTTGGAATACACTTGTGAAATATTTTATGCAAACACTAGGAGTACATTAATTACTTCCAAAGTTTCCTCACACTTTATATCCCTGAAAAATTATTATCCATTTTATTTACATTTTCATAATAAATATTTAAGAAACACCTTCTTCCTTAGTGTTTTATTTTTTTTCTGCTCCCCCGTTAGAAATATTCAGTGGAACACAGAAAAGACATCTCCTAAGTTCTACATTTATATTCTTAAAAGGAAAGATTTTTTTCTGTAAAATTGTTAAAAGAAGAGTAAATACCGTTATCAACTCATAGAGAGTTAATACATACATATACCTTCAATTACACTTCTTTTTGTATTTCGGTAATATAGAACTTATTGAATGTCTGGTTTTGCCCAGATTGACAGTTTTCATCAGGCTAATTTTCATATCAAGCATCATATTTTGTTTTGCTATTGTCACCACTGACATGGGAGATATTATATTTGTTTTCTTCCAATCGTGAGAAACCTGAACAACTCTTTCCTATATCTATAATGCAGCCCTAACCCCTGTCTTTGCATATGGCTCCCTTGGGAGGCACACCCTTACCAGTCACAGATAAAAGCTCAGTTGTCATTTTGCAGTGACTGATAAGTCTCCTCAGACTGCTTCCTCAAAATGAAGTTGCCAGTTCAACTGTTGGTACTGCAGCTTTTCTGGATTCCTGGTGAGGAAAAAAGGAAGTGAGAGGGGAGGAAGGGTAGGGAGGATGAGCTTATGTGTTCTGTCCATGCATGAGTAGATGATTATTATCCTCCAGGATGGGGCCTGTGATATTCACATCTAGGACTTGGATATTCCACATGAGACCCTGTGCTATAATGAAGATTATGACACAGATAGACAGGGATGGAATGAATTATGCCTATAATCATTTTTGTACTTTCAATTCCCTTGATTTGATAAAGGGGAATTACAGTGCATAAAGTATTACATATGAAAATTAACATCTGTTGAAATAAATATAAAACTCTTGAAAACTGTAAATGCAAGGATTGTTCAGAAAGTTTTGTCATAACTTTGCATTTTTATCATTTCAGCTTCCAAGAGTGATGTTCTGATGACCCAAACTCCAGCCTCCTTAGCTGTAAGCCTTGGAGTTCAAGTCTCTATCTCTTGCAGGGCTAGTCAGAGTCTTGTACATAGTAATGGAAATACCTATTTGTATTGGTGCCTGCAAAAGCCAGGCCAGTCTCCAAAGCCCCTGATCTATGAGGTTTCCAAGCGATATTCTGGGGTGCCAGACAGGTTCATTGGCAGTGGGTCAGGCACAGACTTCACACTCAAGATCAGCAGAGTGGAGCATGAGGACTTGGGGATTTATTACTGCATGCAACATACACATATTCCTCCCACAGTGATTCAAGCCCTAACAAAAAGTCCTTGCTTGGATTGGCCCAGCTGCTAAATATGTTATTCATCTGTGTCAAAAAAATGTTGAGGAACTTCAGATTATTGATTGCAGCTGAGGGACTTCTAGCATGAGTTCCTTGAGGATAACTCCAAACTTATTAATTTCTGTCTTCAACAGCTGCAATTAAAATGATATTGTCCCTGCCTTCAGAGAATGGTGAACAGGTGCTCTCTCAACTCCCAAAAATGATGTGGTAAGGCTGAGTGAAAACTGGATTTGATAAATTCATGTTTCAAGTGTTTTATTTAAGAGGTACAAGTGGCTCTGGAAGTTATAAATAATTTAGACTTATAGGAAAACTGCAAAAGTAGAAACTACCAGAGTTTGCAAAACCCAGGAATTGATGTCTAGTGGAAGGAGAGGATGCAGAAACATGGGTAAAGTCCCCTTTCTTTGGGGCCTGGACTAACAACAGAAGCAGACTTCACTGAAGCTTTCAGTGGAGGGAAAAATGTGTGTTGATCCTGAGGTGGTAATGAAGAATGAAAAGATAGTATGACCAAAGAAAGGACTAAATAACAAAAGCTATGTGATAGCCTTTCACCAATCCATCACACTGTACCCTTTATTAAACATTTTATATCATTTAAAAATCATTTTTCTTAAAAAGTGAGTATGAGCTCTTTAGTTTCCCTTCAAAGACACAGGGCAGTAAGTGAGTCACAGGTTGTATGAAGTACCACATGAAAGTTTATGATTATGTCCATGATACAATAACCATGATAAAATCAAGGGTCCCAGATCTAACCAGAAGCCTTATGTTAGGGCAGTGATAGTGATATCATAGCATGATTTAGTACTCTTACAAGCAGATATCCACTATTGTATGTTTGAAGTTCACAGCTGTACAGGAATTTTGATAACTTTCTTGCTCTACCAATTCATAGAGCATATTTCTGAACTATGAGAGCTGGACAGCCAGAAGAATACTTTAAGACAGATTCTACCATCATTTCTTAATGTTCTACAACCAAAACTCATTCTTTCTTTAGCAATACGATTTAATATCTTAGGGTTTTCTTAATTGTTTTGTTTTTGAAAGCAAGAAAACTGACAAAAGCCTGAGTTGTTTTGTGGTTTGGGGCCTCTCTCATAATAAGGGTTCCTATACATGAAAGTGTAATCTTTGTTTTATAACCCATGGTTTCTGGAGGAACTTTTCCCACCATACACCTTGCTTCAATTTTTAAAAATAGAGTTAGAAAGTATGCTTGATTTGATGGTAGGCAAAATACCTCGCAGTGTGGAAGGAGATTGCACTTTCATTTTATGTCCACCTAGACCCAAATAATCACAGAGAAACTGTATTAATCACAATACTGCTTGCCCAATGGTTCAGACCTATTAATATTACATCTTGAAATAAGTAATTTCTATTACTCTATGTATTGCCACAAGGCAATGACTGACTGGTTATATTCTGGTGTTTTTCTCCTTTAGTGGCCACAAGGCATCTTTTTGAGTCTGTCTATTCTCTCTATACATTTCTGTTTGGAATTCTCACCTGATTTTACTTTACTGAGTCATTGCTGAAATGACTTTACTCTTCAACCAATAAAAGCAATACATATACAAAAAATTCCACATCTCCTCCCTTTTTCTGTCTAATTAAAACAAAAGATTTTAACTATAACATAGTAAAATTACATATACAAAACAGCTATTAATCTAGAATTATAGTTACAATATTTATTCCATTTACATTTGGCAAAGTGAGGATAGTACTCTATCATCTGTCTTATTTTTGTGAGTATAAAGTTTTATATATAAATTATTTTTATTATAATCAAGGAAAGCTATAAGGCCCCAGAAGTATATATTACATAGGTATTAAGGAAGTAAATTGTAAGCAACTTTCAAAGTTCTAGAGATGAAAGACACATCCCGATGCCTGGGTAGTCACCCTAAGTTCTTTTGTAAAACTGGAACATCCATTTTCAGCCTAGATTCCCATAATATCTGGCAGACTTTTCAATAAAACTGAAAATTTGTAGATCTGTTCTGCCTTGTCCTGACAAATTTCATCATTTGCTCTCTTCTGTATTCTACAGAATGTCTGTCAGTTTCTTCTGTAAAACAGAAACCCTGAAGTATCATCCCATCTTTTGGAAAGTTCAGCAGTCACATTTCTGTGAGTCCTGTGTGTCCTATTCAGGAATCATACCATGAAGTAGTTCAAGCATAAGCAGTTTATTTCCCAAATAGCTAGCTTTGTCACATTGACTGTAAATTCTATAATGAGTTTCAATGCCCAGCAAACTCTATGAAGTAATTAGTACTGCCAGAAGCAGACATGTCTCACTGTGGAGAAAAGTCTAAGTTCTTCAAGTTTTAAATGCCATTTTTTATAAATCTTTGAAAGATTTGAAGAATAGTTATTCATCTTAAATATATCACTATATATCTAGAAAACCTAACATGATTATAAGTCTGACTATTATAGATGACTACCTATTAACTTATAATTTTAAGTTACATATTACACTTTTAAATAAGCTGTATAAATATAATACCTTAAACAAGAATAAAAATAAACATCAAACAAAATTGACTTTAAATTTGTATTAATAAACCAAACTCCATACCAATGTAAAACATGCATTTCTGTATCATTTTCCCTTTTTTGTTAGAAAGACCTTAACTATGATTATAAACCATTTATAATCAACTCTCATTAAATGAAAACAAACATTTATGAACAATTTTTGGGAATTTTAGTGTAGTTTTTTTGCGATTATTTTTTATTGATTTTTTTGAGCTCTACATTTTCCTTTGCTCCCATCCCTGCCTCTCCACTCATCCCTTCAATCCTTCCCCAATTTACTCAGGAGATCTTGTATTTTTCTATTTTCCATGTAGATTAGATCTATGCAAGTCTCTCTTAGTATCCTCATTGTTGTCTTAAGTTCTCTCTGGGATTGTGGCTTGTCAGCTGGTTTTCTTTGCTTTATTTTTAAAAACCACCTATGATTGAGTAAATGTAATAATTGTCTTTCTGTGTCTGGGTTACCTCACTCAAAATAATGTGTTCTAGCTCAATCCATTTGCTTGCAAAATTCAAGATGTTCGTTTTTCTGCTGTGTAATAATACTCCATTGTATAAATGTACATATTTTCCTTATTCATTCTTCAGTTGAGGAACATTTAGATTGTTTCCAAGTTCTGGCTATGACAAATAATGTTGTTATGAACATAGTTGAGCACGTGTCCTTGTGGCATGATTGAGCATCCTTTGGATATATACCCAAAATTGGTATTACTGGGTCTTGAAGAAGGTTGCTTCATAATTTTCTGAGAAATTGTCACCCTGACATTCAAAGGAGTTATACAAACTTTCATTTCACCAGCAATGCAGAAGCATTCCCTTTTCCCCACAACTATTCCAGCATAAGTTGTCATCAGTGTTTTTTATCTTGGCAATTATTACAGGTGTAAGATAGAATCTCGAAGTTGTTTTGATTTGCATTTCTCTGATGACTAAGGATGTTGCACGTTTCCTTAAGTGAATTTCAGCCATTTAGATTCCTCTGATGAGAGTTCTCTGTTTAGATCTGTACTCCATTTTTTATTGGTTTATGTGTTCTTTATGCAATTGGTGACCAATTTCTTGAGTTCTTTGTATATTTTGGAAATCAGTCCTCTGTCTGATGTGGGGTTAGTGAAGAACTTTTCCCATTTTGTAGGCTGTCATTTTGTCTTGTTGAAAGTATTCCTTGCTTTACAGAAGCTTTTCACTTTCAGGAGGTCCAATTTATTAATTGTTTCTCTCAGTATCTGTGTTGCTGGGGTTATATTTAGGAAGTGGTCTCCTGTGCCAATGTGTTCAAGTGTACTTCCCACTTTCTCTTCTGTGGCTGGCTTTATGTTGAGGTCTTTGATCCATTTGGACTTGAGTTTTGTGCATGGTGATAGATGGGTCTATTTTCATTCTTCTACATGTTGAGATCCAGTTATCCTGGTACCATTTGTTAAATAGGTTTTTGATTTTCCATTTGATATTTTTTTTTGCTTCTTTTGTCAAAAATCAGTTGTTTGAAAGAGGATGGATTAATATCTGGGTCTTATATTTCGTTCCATTGTTTCTCCTGTGTGTTATTATGCCAATAGCAGGCTGTTTTCAGTAGTGTAGCTCTGTAGTAAAGTTTGAAGTCAGTGATTGTGATGCCTCCAGAAGTTCTTTTAGTATACAGGACTGTTTTGGTGATCCTGGGTTTTTTTCCTTTTCCATATGAATTTGAGTATTGTTCTTTTGAGGTCTATGAAGATTTTTGTTGGGATTTTAATAGGCATTACATTGAATCTGTAGATTGCTATTGGTAAGATTGCCAATTTTACTAATGTTAATTCTGCCTACCCAAGAGCATGAGATATCTTTTCACTATTAGGTGTCTTCTTTAATTTCTTTCTTTAAAGATATAAAATTCTTGTCAAACAAGTCTTACACCTGTTTGGTTAGAGTTACTCCGAGATACATTATGCTATTTTTGGCTATTGTGAAGGGTGTTGTTTCTCTGATTTCTTCCCCAGCCTTTTTATCATCTGTGTAAAGGAGGGCTACTGATTTTTTTTAAGTTAATCTTGCATTTTCTACATTACTGAATATGTTTATGAGTTGTAGAAGTTTCTTGGTAGAAATTTTGTGGTCACTATGGGAACTGTTATATCATCAGCAAACAGTTAAAGTTTGACTACTCCTTTTGTGATTTGTATTTTCTTGATCTCCTTTTTGTTCTCTTATTGCTCTAGCTAGGACCTCAAGAACTATATTGAATAGATATGGAGAGACTGGGCAACTTTTTTTTTTGTTCCTCATTTCAGTGGAATTACTGGGAGTTTCTCTCCATTTAGGTTGATGTTGGCTGTTGGTTTGCTGTATATTGCCTTAATTATGTTTAGGTATTTTCCTTGTATCCCTGCTGTCTTCAAGATCTTTACCATAAAGAGATGTTGTATTTTGTCAAAATATTTTTTTGGCATCTAATGAGAAGATCATG